TCCAGTGAGGTTATACAGGCTGAGATCCAGTGAGGTTATACAGGCTGAGGTCCAGTGAGGCTGTGCAGTGAAGTTATACAGGCTAAGATCCAGTGAGGTTATACAGACTGAGCTCCAGTGAGGTTATACAGGCTGAGGTCCAGTGAGGTTATACAGGCTGAGGTCCAGTGAGGCTATGAGGTGAGGTTTAAAGCCTTAATAATAATAGTATTTGTTTTTTTATTGTAAATGTCTTACACATTTTTATTGCTTTGACAACACTATACTATAATTCATCGGCTATGCCAATAAAACACATTGAGTTTGAGTTTGTGATCTGCTTTTCTCTTCTCTAAGACACACTGTCTCAGAGAAAGGTACCTGTGGTCATCATGTCTCCACTTTCAGTAATGTTTATAGTTTTGAGCAGAGTCAATCAGCAAATGGAGGTTCTAACTTGGGAGTGAACTGAAGATTCAAGATTTGAAAAAATATATTTCTCTGTGGTTTGTTTTTGATAAAACACTTAAAGTCATTAATAATAAGGATCGATTTTTGAATATCATCATCACTATTATTAAGACAGGTTTGTAGTGAGGCAGTGACAAAAGGAGACAAGGAGGCTGCTATAAGACAGTGGGTATGGAGGCTGTGCTGTCTTTGAGACTTCTCTCCTCTGTACAGGTATTACATCAGGACTGTACCATCTCCCACTGCCTGGGGGGTGCTTCACTGCTACAGAAAGAAGGAGATTGAGAGATACTTAAACTGTGCATAGAAACTCCCCTCAGTCTCGCAGGAAAGGAGGTCTAAGGGCTTCAGGCGAGGGGCTGTAGCACAGTGTGTCAGTGGACAGTGCATGTGTGTGCTCACATGTGTACAGATGTATTTGTTCCAGCTGGAGTGCTGAAAGACAGCACTGGGCTATTGTTCCTTGCAGGCCCTTGCCGATCGGTGCATGCTGCCTCTTCCCCAGTGAATCAGACTCGCACACGCTGCCGAGCACAGGGGCACGCAGCACGTGCTCTTCCCCAAGGGGAAACACGGAGAGGGAACGCACTGGCTTTGACAGCACGATAAACCGTCATGCCAGTGAGGCCCCTCGAAGGGGAAATGAGCAATATTGTAACCGGACTGAAGGGAACGGATTTGTCTTCTGTCTGTCCAGAACGTGGCAGGTCTTTATCCATGCCAGTAGGACGCCTGCGAGTGGGAATCAGAGAGGGACAGTGTTGGAGAGAGACAGGGCTGAGTCCCCCCCCCGAGCTACTGCTCTCTTCTGCTCAGCCATGTAGAACAAACCCATCTGCTAGGAAGAGAGAGAGAGAGAGAGAGCCAGGTGGACCGGGGGCCTCAGGGATCCGAAGGCGGCTGTAAGGAGAGGGGACGTGAGGGGTGACAGGGGGACGAGGGGACGGAGAGAAAGAGGTGCGCTTGTTGCCCAGTACAGGCGGAGTGAGGGAGGGCTGGGTTGGGTTGTCTCGCACCGCGAGAGGGGAGTTGAAAAGGAGGAAGGGAGAGAGCTAGTTTCAGTTTCCTGTGTGGCCTAGAACCAGCCCCCCCCCTCCGCCTCCTCTCCCTGCCTCCCCCCCTTGCCGAGAGCAGGCGGTGGTTTGTCCTGTGTGCTCACAGCCCTGTTGTTGCGCGGAGCTGCAGGAGGCCGCGGAGCGAGAGTGGGAGAGCTTTCTGTCCATTCATCCCCGCGCACGAGTGCCGGCCGTCTCGCTCCGGAGGGAGGGGAGCGCACACACCCCCCCCGGGCCAGAGAGAGAGAGAGAGAAGGGAGGAAGGAAGCAGGCAGTGCTCCGGAGAGGCGTCTGGCATCGCTGGCCTCCGTTCACACGCTGCAGGATTTCTTTTTTATCTTCCCCCGGTGGGCGATCCAACCATCTTTCACTCTCCCTCCAGCGCTGGAGCAGGGAGAGGGAGAGGGGGAGAGAGGGAGAGGGAGGGAGGGAGGGAGCTGTGCCCTCCCCCACAGGCTGAGAGCGGCTCCGAGGGAGAAGGAGGCAGAACGAGAGAGAGAGAGAGGGACAGACACAGGCAGGAAGGCAAGAGGAAGAGAGGAGGAAGGAGAGTGAAGTCCGGATTGCTAGCGATTCCCTGCGAGCGTCGTGCCTCCCGGAGAGCGGAGCGGCCCCCTCGCGCTGCTCATGTCCGTCAACTCGGAGAAATCCTCGTCCTCCGAAAGGTAACCGTGACAACTGCGCACGGCGGGCTGTCCGCCTCGGCTGCCTTGCCCCCTGCTCTCCCTTCCTCCGGTGCCCCCGGTGTCTGGCTCTCCGGGATGCTCCGGTAGGTTCCCGTGCGTTCGCCTATTGTTCGTTCCCGGCGTTGCGCCGCGCCGAGGGGCTCGGCGGCTCTCGAAGCCTGTAGCGCGCACAGCACACGCACACACAAGCACACGGGGAGAGGGTATGCGTTTTGTTTATCCCGGCAGACAGGGATGGCGGATCGCTGATGCCTATGCCAGCCCAGAAAACAGAGACGAGCCTGTCCGGACAGGCAGAGGGACGGAGAGACTTGTTGAGATGGGACAGACAGATGGACAGTTGATAGTATCCATGCAGGAGGAGGGAGAGACAGACATGAGCATACCACTGACGTGCGGACAGACAGACAGGCAGACAGACAGACAGACAGACAGTGTGGCTGTGCAAATTGAGCACCTCATTGTGTCCAGCCTCCTCACACTGTACATGAAGCTGTGCTGATATATCGAGGCAGAAAGGAGAGAGCCGTAGAGTGATCTTGAACACAACCTGTGGTTATTTGTGTAATGAGCAAGTTCGATTTCTGAAGAGACCGGGGGGAACCTAGAGAAGATATTTCAGAAAGACCCAATGGTACGACCTGTATTTATTTTTTTTCCCTTGCCTTTAGCAATCCCTGAGACAGGGATAAACACCCATGCTCTGATGAGAAGCGCCCTGGGGTCCTTTGTGATCACCCTGGGGTCAGACAGACAGTATCGGTTTCATGTCAGATCTGAAAAATATCACTTTCTACTGTACGCTGTCCTGTTGAGGTCTTCAGAAGCTGCTCTAGGGTCTCTGGCCTTGAAGAGCGCCACCTACTGGTCCGGTAGCATTTCATAAGTGACCCGATTTTCCTCTGATGTCTCCAATCCAAGCAGTACCGACCAGGGCCCGCCTTGCTGAGCTTCCACGACCAGGTCGGGCCTCATCACTGCTTAGGCTGCAGACTGGTGGTTTTCTTCCCGCCACGGTAGGATTTTGGACCTACGTCAGGCAGTGGACTTGAAGCCAGAAAAGGCCTTAATTGTAGCTGTGCTCCCGTATGGCATGACAAAACAAAGGAGTTCGCCCAATGGCGGAATAGCGGTCAGCCGTCCCAGTCAGTGTAGCCTGGGAAACCATAAGAACTGGGAACCTGCGAGGTGTAATCTGACTGGAAGCTGGTGCAGAGGCTGCCCGGACAGTTGTGTTGGGGGATTCATGCTTCCTGTAAATAGTTACCGAGGTCTGATTTCAGGGTGCTTGCTGGATGTTAGCCCTTGCCTGTGCCCTAGTCCTTCTCCCTCTCTCCTCCTGCCTCCGGGCTGTTTCGTGAGCACCGCTGCACAAGCACCGGCAGAGCCCTTCCCCCGAAGATTTGATTGGGAACGTCAGGTCGGGGCTGGGGGACCCCCCCTCACGAGCTGACGTTTTCCTGTAAGAGGCAGCTCCGTGCAAACGGTGTCCGCGACGGCTTCGGCGATCAGAAGGTTTCGGTGAGAAGATGCAGGCGTCGTATTCAATGTATGTACAGGTCTGTAATGGGGTGTGTGGTTTCTATGGAAACAACAGCACTACCCACGAGTTTGCCCACCAGTACACCAGTGACTGAAAAACGTTTGTGAGAAATCGGCATCAAATCCAAGGGGAAAATACCGGTTTCTACCTAAATAGGCTATATGACAGAAGTCATCTGAAAACTAGATGGGACTTCTGTTTGTCATCTATGAAGTGAATTCTCTGTGTTCTGTTATCCTGGCCTCAGAAAATATCGGAAAAGGATGTCATCTGACTGCAGAATTAGCCATTGCCCATCTAAAGAACGTTGGGACATAAAGAACACAAAAGAATGCGTGAAAAAGCATAGTGACCAAGCAACATGGCCGCCCCAGAAACCAGGCTGCAGCGCACATTCTGTAGTACGGTACTGTAGTGTTTGAGTGCTGCCGAGGTCTCTTCATTTGTGTGGGTGTTTGTTGTATGTCTTCATCCTCTGTTAATAGTATCATATAGAAATTCATCTCCTTGTAAGTCTTCATTAACCTTAAAATAACGAGAGAAAAAATTAAAACAGTTCCCAATTCATATGTTAGGACTTCAGAATGTCTTCAAGGTAGGTTAATGAATTCATCTTAGGCTGATCCTAGGGGAATCATTCCAAGGAGGTGCCTCCCATGCAAAAGCAGACACCTTATTCTGCATCTGTGCAACAGCTGATTTGTGTTTTGCGTGCGTGTTTGCTACAGTGTTGTGTGTAGCGCAGCACTGAGTGGGCGGTGTTATAAGTGTACCAGGAGTGATGCACTGAGAGTGGGGGGTGATGGCGTGTGTCCTGCAGCTGAGCTCCCTCGACTCGCTCTGCTTTGAGAGCAGTCACTCTGATGGTCAGCCATCGCTGACCTCACTCCCAGCCCACCGCTCTGCACCTCGGTGTCCTCCTTCATTTACCCGGCACGCATTCCTTTCCCTCACTGCCTTCTGAGTGACTAGGCCCAAGCAGAACCCTCTGTTTGTTTATCGGCGCTCTCTGTGCTTGCAGATCCTGAATACTGTTTCCCTTCCAAAAAGCGTTCATTCAAAAATGGATCTGAAAAAAAACAAACTTTGAAGGATACAACATCTTACATTTTTCACCGATTTCCATTGCTTTTACTGTAATCACATCGTCTGAGATCCAAACCACCCAAGAATCACAGCTTTTTTCCCCATTGACCTCTGGAGGTTAGATTAGGATAGTTTTCTGGTGTAAGACCCCCCCTCCCCTATATACAGTGGGTATTCTGCAGCTATTCTGCAGCTATTCTGCAGAATAGCTGCAGAAATTCTCACCCGTGGGTGTCATGGTTAGCATGCAATGCACAGTGGTTGGCGTTGCAGCTTCACGGCACTGGGTCCCCGCGTTCGATCCCTGGGGTGTTATCTGCGTGGGGTCGGTATGTTTTTCCCCGTGTTCTCATGAGTTCCCTGCAGGTGCTTCGGTTTCCTCAAAACTGTCCAAAAACATACTGGTAGGTTAACTGGCTTCCGGGGAAGGTGGGCCCTAGGGCGAAAGTGTTTATGTGTGTGCCCAGACATGGACTGACGTCCCACCCAAGGTATATCCTGCCTTGTGCCCGTTGTTTGCTCACAAACATGCCCACTGTATATAGGGGAAGGGGGGGTCTTGCACCAGAAAACTATCCTAATCTAACCTCCAGAGGTCAATGGGGAAAAAAGCTGTGATTCTTGGGTGGTTTGGATCTCAGACGATGTGATTACAGTAAAAGCAATGGAAATCGGTGAAAATTGTGAGATGTTGTATCCGTCAAAGTTTGGGCCTTTGGCATCTGGAAGAAACTCCTGAGCCACGTGGCTGGGGCTAGCTCTCTGGGATCCCTCGGGAAGCTGCTGGCTGATGAATTTCTGAACAAGTGATCGCGGGAGGCAGGCCGAGCAGCCTCCTGTCGTTACAGACCTTCCTGTTCTTCAAATCCGTATCCCGGCTGTTTTCCGGGCGAGGGAGTGTGAACGTTAGGGGTTCACCAGCAGCGGCGCTGGGCCGTGCTGCTGTCAGGGGTCAGGTTGTGATTTCGACGTGATCAATACGGCGGCCTGGACTCAAAAACGCAAATCTTCCTCGACGTTGCGCGGGCCCGCGTCACGGCTGCACGCTTCAGATCAGCCACGCCAGGCGTGTCTGCGGTGGCCATGGCTTCTACAACGGGACAGTGTGGTGGAGCCCTTGCAGGACTGGGTTTTAACCTTTTACAAAGTTCCTTTTGCCCAGATAATATGTCCGTTCACGGTGTGTGGTGCAAAATTAAGTACACGCTCTCAAGATGACACAGAGATAAAGAATCCTGGGTTTTGATTTAGATTATTTTTAAAATAAATATCGGCAAAGTAATTTTTGTGTGTTATTTGTCATTGATTCTTGTTTTTATCTACTATTAGGACTTGGTGAGGTCTGGGTCAAGTCCGTCTACATGTGTTAAACCAGTAAAATCTTAAGGGGGTGTACTTTTTCACCACATTGTACGTAAGATCAGTACTGACTTGTTGGTTTAATAGATGGCTGTTTTTTTTTTTCCCTTGATACCCGCTGGTTGGATATGAATGGTTTCAGAGTCGGGTGATGAAGATCAGTAAATCAGCTGAGGATTAGATGGAGGGGGTTGGGGGTGGAACTGTCAGGGTCACCTGCCCATGTTCAAGAGCAGAGGCCTCTATCTCCCCTTCATGTGCCCCCATTTTAAACCAGCATCAGCATAGAGTGCACTCGCAGTGTGAGAAATAGGGGCTGAGAGGGAGGCTGTCAGGCCCCTCGGTCTGAATTGGTTCGCTAGCGGCCTGTGGATTCAGGCCTGGATTAATCAAACCAGTTTCAGTTTTGAGCCTCTGAACCCGTCTCCTGATGTTGACTTCCCAGAAGGCTGGTGCCAGCAGCCATCGGGCGACACACTGGACGTATCTGAGTGCCAGGGAGCTCAGAGGTTTGTTTAGTTAGAGCTGAGCTCCTTATACAGATCTTAATTTGATGAAGGGTATTTATTGGATGCATTTAGGATGAAAACTTCATGCTTTGGTGACTTAGAGGAGGGACCCGGTAGTAACTCCTTAGGGTGCTGAGTTTCATGCAGTGGCAGGGGAATGTGTCCAGGCCCTGCAGGGACTGGGATGACTCTCAGGCGGACCTCACTCCGAGAACGTCTCGTCTTAGGAATGTTCACTCTCGGCCCTTACAGCCGTTCCCATAAAACGACTCCGCCGAAACGTGCAGCAGATATCTTCCGGACGTCTTCAGGAATCCCACAGGGAAGATCCTGCTGGACTCTCTTCAGAGGAAAAATAAAGTATTCCTGAGGATGTCATGGGGGATACTGGCAGCAATCCACGTCCAGCAGGATTCTTATGTTTTCCCTGCATGGTGTTTGATATTTGGGCTGCTGCTGCTGGTAGCTGTTAAACATCATTGAATCTCCACCCCAGCAGACCAGGGAACTCGAAAAGCACGCAGAAAGCTCTGTTGAGTTTCATTTGTATTAGCTGTATGTGGAAGGTATATCAAGATGGAGATAT